AAAAAATAGATTAATGAAAAATGGGTAAATGAATAAAAGGATAAATGACAAATAGATAAATGAAAAAGAGAAATTGGGAAATTGATAATATGAAAAATAAATAAATTGAAAATTGGTTTAATGAAAAAGCTAAATCATTTATTTAACAAATTTTTTATTTATTTCACTCATGTACTTCATTTTTTGATTTATTTTACTCATTTTTTATTTATTTAACCCATTTATTTATTTATTTATTTAATTTTGGCGCAAATGGCTCTCCATATACTTGTGTTAGATTTAAATAAATTTTAATTGTTGTGAAAAAAATTAAAAACAACGATATTACTTATTCTTTTAACTTCAAGTCAAAAGACGTTATCGAAAAAAAAATATGTAAAATTTATCATAATTGTAGCTCATTTATGTGCTGGTGGTTTTCTATAATAGAAAGACCTTAAGCTAAAAGGTTAAGAGAAATATGTAAACAGCCTACGCATTTACATACTTATCAAAATTTTTTAGCTTGGGTCAACATTTAAAATTGTGATAACTTAAGTAATATATTTTATTGTTTTCACTGTTGTAAAATACTTTTTGAAAACATCGATAATCTACCAGAAATGAAAACATCTCGTGAGGGATGCTCGGTGGTCTAACAGTAACAACTCGCGCATCGATTAGTGCTGTCTGCTTCTGGTGCGCGCGCCTCCTCACACGGAGTGAGAAGCCGTCCGATAATAAAAACACTAACAGCTACGAGCCATGTTAATGTTTCCAGGCTGTTTCTGAAACACCGAAGCTACAAACCAAAACAAAGTCGATGGTTTGCGGTTGTTATTCGCTCGTCGGTTAGCCTAGCTAACCCGTTTAGCTGCCAGAGACTGGTTAGCTACTAGCTAACAGGGTTCGGTTGCAGGTTAGCTTAACGGAAAACTAACCGTACAGTTGTTTGAGTTTGAAAGCTGCAAACTGACGCAGACATGCAGGAGTTACTGGCCAACGTGGATCACATCAAGTTTGACCTGGAGTTTGCTGTGGAGCAGCAGCTCGGAGCGCAGCCTCTGCCTTTCCCTGGCATGGATAGTAAGTGCCGCTGTGCTAACCCCTGCTAGCCGCTGTGTGTGAACCACTGGAGGAGCTAGCAGACACTAAACTTCAGTGGACGCACATGTTCCCTTTATTTAGCTTTCTATTGACCGTGTGATGACATGTGTCTGCTTTCAGAGTCCGGGTCAGCTGTGTGTGAGTTCTTCATGAGGGGAGCTTGTATGAAAGGTAAACCACAATTTCGGCAGGTGTTGCGTTAGCAGCTCAGCTACCACTAAAGACCTCTGTTCACAAATCCAATCTCAGCAGATCGTATCTTTTAACAGTTGTTGTGTTAAGTGTTCTAGATTGAAAATCCTTCTTGGATCATTTATAAAATATAGAAAAAAAACTGGATAAAGAGTAAAAATATTGTACAGTGAGGGCAAAATTTAAACATAAATACAGTGTAGTTTATAAGGAAAGGTGCACTTCACTTCAACGGAATGTGCAACTGATTTGGTTAATTTAAAATGTACAAAATGTGCATGTCAAATTCAAACATCAAAAAGACAGACTTAACATTTACTGACAGTAAAAGCTGAGCAACAGTAAAGTTGCTCACAGATATATTAAAAATGGACTGAGAGTTTTGTAAATTTGCCTGGAGGGGGAAAAAAGGCAAACAATTTTATCGTTCTGAGAATAACGCTATAGACTTGGTAGAACAGTTAGGGATGAAATAATTTTTTTCCAGTCGTTTCTGCGTGATGAGTTGTAATCCCTCATGTTGCATTTTGCAGGCGGGATGTGTCCGTTCCGTCACATCAGCGGAGAGAAGACGGTGGTGTGTAAACACTGGCTCAGAGGCCTGTGCAAGAAGGGAGACCAGTGCGAGTTTCTCCACGAGTACGACATGACCAAGATGCCCGAATGCTACTTCTACTCAAAATTCGGTTTGTTCGCGCTCACGTTTCAATTGTACTTGACCTGGGCAATCGGTCACCAACCGTTTGATGCCAATGATTGCGTTTCAACCCTCAGGAGAGTGTAGCAACAAGGAGTGTCCCTTCCTGCACATCGACCCGGAGTCAAAGATCAAAGACTGTCCGTGGTACGACCGAGGATTCTGTAAACACGGTGAGGTCCAGTTGTCTCTTGGAGAACCGTTGGTACTTTTCACATTACAGCCACAAACTTTGGTGTGTTTTATTGTGATTATGAGCGATAGACCAACGCATAATCTCACACAATTATGAAAGAGACGTGAAACAAAAGCTGGAGAGATTCCCAGCTCCTGTGTGATAGTTTGTCAACGGGACAACTATTAGTTAGGGTGGGAGATCCACCGCCGACACTGGAATAGTTTAAATTAAAACAGAGTTCAGATCTGAAACCTGTTGAGTTTTGTTTTAGTTTGTGGCTGCATCCTGACTAGACGTGTAAATACTCATGAGATGTGAAGATGTTTGCAGAGTGCCCAGAAATCTTGACGTCATATTATGGATTTCTCCTCTAACTCCGTGCGACTCTTTCCTGCCTCAGGTCCCGACTGCAGACACAGACACACACGGCGGGTAATCTGTGTAAACTACCTGGTGGGCTTCTGTCCTGAAGGGAAAGCTTGTAAATTTATGCAGTAAGTCTACCACTCTGTTACAGTTTTACAGCCATCACATCTTTTTTCCCTTTTAAATAAAGATTAGATTTCATTAAAAAAAAGTGTGTTTTATTTGGATACATATTTTCAAATCTGAGAGTTTTATAGATTTAAAAGGTAATATGTATATTTTTTCCAACAGCCCTCGGTTTGAGCTGCCAATGGGAACGTCCGAACAGCCTCCTCTGCCACAACAAGCACAAATTCAGACCAAGGTAACGTGATGCATAGATGAATACACACTCACTTGTTTTAAATCCTGCAATTAAACAGTTGGTCTAATATCTAGCTTTAAACTGCAGATATCTGACTCTTTGTAGCTTCACTAAAAACGTCTGACTCTTGCTTCACCTCGTTTGTTCGCTGCCGTTGTTGATTTGCCAGAGTTTGTTTCTCGTTGCAGGCTGCGTCTGTCAACCGCTCATCGCTCTCTCTCATCCAGCTGACCAACACCAGCCCCATCCAGCGGCCGCAGAACAACATAAACTCTGGAGTCCAGCAGAACCACATGTCCGTCAACAGAGGGCCTCGGCCTCTGGACCAGGTCACCTGCTACAAGGTGAGGCGTCGCGTTAAATCTCCCTGTGGCGAAAAATGTAATTAGGATAACTTACAGTGTCTTGTATGAATAACTGATTCAGGGGTTAAGATTTACCTTTTGGGTTTTATTATAAAATTTGAATGTTAAAGCTTTGTCCACATATAAAGTTTTATGCCTTTTCCAACTCTTGAGAAATATGAATTTTGAATATTTAAAGTAGGGCTGAAACAATTAGTCAATTAAATAATCGTCAACTAATTTAGTAATCGATTAATCGTTTACTGGACTATACAGAACTCTAAAAATGGCCACTTGCTAAAAAATCCCCCAACATACTTGGAGCAATAATGATGCCAAAACTGTACAAAAATACTTTGCATTTAAGATATATAAAATAAACAAGTTTACCTGTAAACCTGTTCTTAAGTGGCATAGTTTTAGCTTCACCTGGTTTAAATTTTGCAAAAACAATTAGGTACCTTTATTAATAATGTATTTAATTTATAATATTTATAATACCCTTTAAATTCTTAGATCTCAAAGGGCAGGAAACAAGAACAAAACAACCAATTGTAATGGATAAGAATAATTACATAAATGGATACATAAATAAAAGATTAAAACCAATATCTAAGAAAATAAACCAAAATTTTGCTATTAAATTATGAATCCAAAAACAGATTAGTACAGTATTTCTTTAGCAGCAGATGCATCCTTTGCAACAAATGAACCGTACACTAGATGAATGCTGTTTTTGGCAATAAAATGTTTTTCTTTCAAAAAAAAAAAAAAAAAAAGTTATTTGCATCTTTAACACGTTTCTAAAAGGCTCAAGTGGTTAAATGGAAAATCTCCAGAATGTGCCAGTTTTGTTTTTTAAAAGTCAAAATGATTAATTACTAAAATAGCGGTTAGTTGCAGCCCTTATTATTTAATCACTGAACCTTTTGTTTCATCTGTCGGCAGTGTGGAGAGAAGGGCCACTACGCCAACAAATGTAATAAGGGTCACCTCGCCTTCCTGAGCGGACAGTAGCCTTCAGCCTCCAGGGTTTAAATCCAACATGGACACCAGCTGCCCCGGACGTCACAGCGGCTGAAGGCAGGACGCCTCTGAGACCTCCGGCTTCTCCACACGGAGGTGGACCCGGCCACAAGGAGAAACGGGCGGCGTGAGCGCAAAACTAAACTACTCCCGTTTACTGCCACATGGAAAAAAACACCAACGAATGAATTAAGGACAGATTAATGTTGCGGAAGAGGAAAGGGCTGATGTACAACATTCAGAACTTTTTTTTTTTTTACTTTACCGGACAAACAACTTTGTAAAACGGAGGAATTAAACAAATTAAGACGGTCCTATACGAGCGCATTACCTTCACTTTCTTACTGTACATCTCAGGCCATGTGACTGCACCAGCATTCTGCTGCCCTAATGTCTAACTGCAGAAGCAACAAGTGGCGGCAGCAGGAACCAGACCGCCTCTACCGCGGACGTCAGAGGCGGCCTCGGACCGAGCCTCGGCGGTACGGATCAGCCGGGGTGCTTTAGTTCACAGCCAACTAATGCAGTCTGGATTTATTGTCTGTACCAAATAAATGGCGTTTTTGTCAAACCTTGACGTGTTGCTGCACAGAAAACGACGCTCTCGCGTGTTTATATACTTTTATTGGTCACAACAGTCACATATTACAAACAATATTACTAACATGTTGCTCAGCTAACACAATGTAGCTGAGCATATAAAGAGCAAGGGGAGACGCTGGTTTGACCCCCTGATGGTGTGACGGCTGCTGGAGACGCTCAGTGGTACTTCCGCCAGCGGTCGTGCTCTGATGGAAAATGAATGAAAGCAAAACATTTAGAAGTAAATATTGGCATGTTGGTGTATGAGAAATGTACAAGTTGCATTTTTCTTACTGATGTGGTCGAAGCTCCACACGTAGCTGATGACCACGTATCCAAACAGAAACATGGAGATCCCACCAATGCCTCCCTTCTTTACATTGATGTACTTCTTGTAGTACCAGTCATAGCCTGGGAAAAGGACAGTTGAAAGTTTTTAAAAAATAAAAATAGGGCTGATAACGTTAACCTTTGATTGCAATATTTGGTAGGCAGAGGCCAAGCATTAAAACTGCCCTCCAAAAACACATTTGGCCAATTGGGTGGATTACTAGGGAAGCTGCAATACTATTTATGAATACTGAAGTGAAAATCTTATGATTAACCCACATTTTCCTCATAATTTTGTTCAATACAATCAACAGGTCAGCCACTATATATATATATGTATATATATATATGTATATATATATATATATATGTATATGTGGCATCTGGTGCAGTGAAAGTTTGTAAAAGGCCACTTGCATTACCAGTTTCCCCCAGTGTTTTATAAGCCTGGCAGGCCACCAGGCTTTACTTGTGCCTCCACCAGGCTAAGCATTGCTTATTTATTTAAGTCTTTTTAAAATGTTTGCATTTTTTAAGACTTTATTGTTGGTGTTCAGGTGTTAATCTTCCAATAGCACATAATTATCGAGGGATGTGTTCAAATTTCCTGTCAACTTTAAAAACGTATTAACTGAAAAACACGAGGGGCCACTAAACGAATGACTGCCCTAGCGCCCCAAACACCGGGCTTAGCAAGTTTTCTGGGGGAAATCTTGCATTACAGTATGTACATGCAAAATGTACATGTGCAACATTTGAATTGTGCAAAATGTTTAATCTGAGCAGCTTTTTGCAAATATTGGTATTACAAGGCTAAGTGTGATTCAGGGTGTTGCACATCTTTACTTGGTCGGGTTAAAAAGTGATAAATGTGGATCACAATTAACATAAATATGTTTTTAAAAGATGCTTTGCATAACCAGTCGTAACGCAAAGTTTAAAGTATGAATGCAAAATCATTATGACCCCCTAGACCAGATAAGAACTGGTACAGTGCAAAAAGTCAGACTCATTTCCTAAGCTAAATATTTCTTTTTTGATGAAAATAGAGACGGATTCCTACAGATGAATGGGTGACACTGCTCCTGGTTAGCTTACCTCCGGTGACACCTCTCACGAGTCCGTTCGGGGTCAAGTCTCGACCTGCGAGCCATCTAGGCAACTCTTTCAGCTTCACATCCGCCAGACTCTTCTCGACAACTGGAACTGATCAAAAGGGCGGACATGGCACAAAGTAAGAAACGGCAGCATACTCAACTATTTTATTTTTCATAAAACCACGTCCAAAACGTTAGCTTAGATTCAGTATAGCGAACTTAAAAAGACCTTTATATGCAACAAAACAACGGTTAAAAGTGCGCCATCCCAACGGAAAGTAATTTGTTTGTGTGTTTTGTGACTATAAAGGCTGTCAGTTCATAGAAGTTGATATTTTCAATGGAGTTGTAGCTGACGTGCAAAGTCCTTGACGCGAGTCAAAGGATTCAGTGCGGCCTTCAGTCCGAAACACTCACACAGCGGAGTAAATCACCACCGAAATGAGAAATTAACCAAAACAGCAACTGAAACAGTCAATATATACACACAACAAACCACATCAAGTATATAAAATAACGGTTAGTACAGCAGAGGACACGCTAAGCTACCTGCTTTGTCCGCCATCTTGACCGGTGCAGGAGGGGTTGCAGCGGGGAATGATGGGAATAAAAAGAGGAAATGCATTGTGGGACATGGAGTCATAATTTGAGCCCATTTGAGTTCCCCATAAGCTAATGCGTACAATGATGTGTGTATTTTTGACCGTAGAATATAACGCACAGTCATAAAATAAAAATAAATATCGGAAGGCTGCTGAAAAGATGATGACTGTAAACAACAAAATATAACTAAGATATAGTAGCTAAACCAAATACATATATTCATTAGTTAAAAACGTATTGAGTTTTATTTTCAGGCAAAGCAAACACAAGTGAACAAGTATTAAGTCTAACAAATCCCTCTGAAACAAAGAAGTTTAATAAAAAAATGGGTAAATAAAAAGATTAGCTTGAAACTTTTTACAGCATTAGATAGAGAAACACAAAGAAAATTCAGTTTGCAGCACTTTCATTGAAAAAAGACCTGGAAAAGCTTCTGTTACAGACATTTTTTCCTGCCTGTTCTGTAACTTAAAAAAAATAAATAAAATAAAACAGATAAAGTACCCAAATAGGCTACATTGTCAACAAATTTGCCGTTTCCTCGCAAGTCCGCACCTAAAGAAGCAGTCTTACACAAACTGTGTCAAAATATGTTTTTGAAATTTGCCAGAAATAAATTAACCACATTATATCAGCATCTTAGAAATAATAACGTAGATAATAAGTCCATGTTATTTATGTGCTCTTTATTCCGAGTTGCAGCCAGTTACACATAAGAGCGAGAATATAGTTTCATTGAAATCTATTTTTTTTTAATTGTTATTATTATTTTTTTTATTGGAAGCACAAAACATAGCTCACCAATATTAAAACTGACTAGCGCTCATGAAGTGGGAAAAGAATCACTTGTAATGAACCAAATGTTAAAATATAAAACAGATCTTTGTTGCAATTTTTAATGTGTCCACTGGATGGCAGTAGAAGAAGCTTTAAAGATCCATTTTTTCATATTAATCCGTGTTTTTAATCAATACATTTTCTGATTTTTCTTTAGTATACCCTTATGGCAAGCAGTCTATTATTATTATTATTATTATTATTATTATTATTATTATTATTATTATTATTATTATTATCTTTTAAAGCTGCCCTACCATCAAAAATAACATTCGTGACCTGTCCATGTCCTGAGGATGGTCTTGTGGATCTGAATTAGATTTTTACATCTTGTACATTTTTTACATCTTGTAAATGTTTAAAGACTGAGGAATCAGGTAGAGCCTCAAGTGAAAATATTATTAAACTCTCAGTGACTACCCATTTCTTTTTAGAGTAGTATTTCATAATGCCCAGACTCAGCGTTTATTCGGAAGAGAAATCCACAGTATCTTACGTCCTCCTCTGTACCCAACATTGACCATAAGCTGCTTTTCCACATACTTATCTTTTGTTTCACATCAAACTCATGTGAGGTTTATTGTTATGGTAACATATCTTTTCATGCAGTAGATTGTATGCGTAATGTTTTTTGAAGGACGAATTATTCATCTCGTGTTGCATTTTGCTATGCGTTTTATTTGTATATCTTTTGTGCTTCATGAAAAATGATAAACACTTTCCAATTTTGAATCAAGGCCATTCATTGGTTCAGGGTAATTTATTTATTCAAATATTTATTTCTTTTTTTTTTTTTTTCAAAACAAAATTACATTCACAAATTTACTGCAAACGGAAACTGGGATTTACAAGATTTATACGAGACATAAAGCAGCCTAAACAGGCAAGAAAACATAGCTTAGTGCCTTGCTCCATTTTCTTTATCACCCTTACTGCAGGAACCCCTTCCCCTCTAAATAACAACATGTTTGATGATAAGTATTTTTACAATAACGACCTGAAGGCTTTACAACGCTGGTGTCTCCTGAGGCTCAATCAGAGGAATCATTTTTCTTATGGCAAAAAAAAACAAAAAACGATCAATGTGGAGCTCAACAGCCTGCAGCGCCGATACAAAATGTTCCCCAAGATATAGCTGTGCAGACTAGGGCCTGTTTGTGTGTGTGTGGGTGGGTGTGTGTGTATGTGCGTGTGTGTGTGATAGAGAGAGAGAGAGAGAGAGAGCAGCAGAGCAGCAGAGGTAGTGCGGAGCTCCTGTCCCAGCTCAATGCAACCACTAATCAATAACCTCAGTCCACCCACACACACACAGTGAGTGAATAGGTGTGTGTGTGTGTGTGTGTGTGAGTCTGAAACGGGCCCTCATCCAAGAATCACCACTAACCTCTTTGCTTTATTAGACTGATTTTTCCTGCTTCTCTTTAACGACTTCCATCAGATGGATAGAACCAAGTTCAGGATGAGATAAAGACAGAAAAGAAGCTAAGAAAAAAAAACACAAATAAAAAATGTTCTAAAATCTTTATTTTATTACTTTCGCATTTCAAATATGTCTCCATCTAAAAAATAAAACCACATGGATTTTATACATGTAAAGATGCAGACAAATATGTTGGCACCTCTTGCAGTGACTCAGCATAATCTCTCTCTCAAAACAATGAGAAAAATCTATCCTTCATTTTTTCCTAAACTTTTCTTTTAACAATTCAATTGTTTTTTTTATTACAATGAATTAAATTAATTATTGTTACTCCTAAAATATACACATTTTTAATTGTATTTAAAATAATTTTTTTCCCTTGTATAGTATTTAAGTTGATATGACCTTTCAGGAACCTTTAATTTGTAAATCATTAGTTCCTGTTTCCCAGGGGTAAACATATGATGTGAGTCAAAAAGTCACCCATGTTTCTGTTGGTGAAATGCTCAATGAAAAGTGAAAAGTAAATAAATAAATTAACAAAATTACAACAACACGTGGGGTTTTGGAGTAACTACGTCTCCATGACGACCATTACTGTTTTCATGCCACCTGGTTGTTTTCTCCTCTCATTACAAACATAAATGTGGCATTTTCTTTCCTATCCTGGGATTTTTACTGAAAACAATGTGGTCAG